ATGTGTGCCTCATCTCCACCCCTTCCCTGTTCTCAACTACAGATGTGACTAGACACCCAGCTCCTGCCACTGTGGTTTCTCTATGATGGACTTTAAACCTGAAATTTTAAGGAGAAATAAACTACTTTCTCCCCATAATATGCTTTTTTTTCCAAAGTATTTTATCATAGTAACACAAAAGAAACTAGAACACATGGTCGTGAGATTGGAAGGCAGAAGACCTAGCTAGGATTTGGGGTACAGGCCTGTAATCCCACCTGCTCTGGAGGCTGAGACCCTAGGAGGATTATAATAAATTTAAAGCTTGCTTGGGTTGCAGAAGGAATTCAAGGCAGCCTGGTGACCTAGGGAGATCCTGTGTCATAATTTAAAAACCACTAAAGAGGGATATTCATGCTCCCCATTTTTATTCCCAAGTACTATCAAAACAAACAAGAAGCAAGCAAAAGGGCCAGCATCAGGGAGCTGGCATAAGCAGATCAACCTCTGGTCAGGCACTGAGTGAATTGGAAGGACCACCTGGACCTCATTGGCTTGGTCTGAATGTTAGCTCAGAAGATACATCAGTTAACCAAGAAATGGGTAAAATGTTGTCCAGTGTCCAGCTGTGCATTTTCTCCCAGTGGCTTTTCCTAGTTCCTGGGTCACAGGTCCTGGTTCCCTGCACTGGTCTCTCCCCTAAACTCACAGGTCAGGTCATTTCAACTTTCTGTTAGCAGAGTGAAGTAGTATAGCCCCTGGGCTATTGGAACTGAGAGTGTTTCTCTCGAGCTTTCTTGCTTGTGGATAAGCCCCATTTTTGCTATTTATCCCTATACAGAACATGAGAAGAAGTGAGGCATGGCTAGTGCTGGGCCTTACACTTCCTCATCCCCCATTCCAGAAGCCAGAGCTTTTTTCACTTAGTAGTTCCATGACCCCTCCCCTCATCTTGCCTTTTTGGTCCTTTGCTGGAAGAGAGAGCATCCATGCAGGGCTCCCTTAAGGAATGCTAGCTGTTTCTGGAGACTGAGGTAGGGAAGATAGGAGGACTCACTCCTTACTGACAGTCATGTTCTTGTTCTGTCCCTTTTGAGCTGGGTTGATGAAGGCCTATTCTGGAGGTGTTAGGTTGGTCCTAAGCTCAACATTTATCATTCCAGGAAATTATCACTGGCCTTCCTTGTATAGACATCAGGAACCACACAATAAGGTCTGGTGCTGGAATGTAGGCTGCCTATGTAGCTGTTGTATTTAGAATATTTCTAGAATAAGCAAGGAGTGCCCTGTACCTACTTTACCTAGAGGGGTTTCTTTATCCTTTAAAGTGGTCCTTATGAAGCAAAGGCAAGATAGACATAGCATCTGTCATTGAACAGCTAATAGTCCAAACCAGATAGAGTCTTCATGATTTTCAGATTCTGTGAGCACAGACATGGTTCCAAGTGACAACCTGGCCATGGTGATTTTATTAGTGAGAGCTGCATGGACAAGAATTGATGAGAAAAAAAACAAATCCTTCTCTTGTGTCACTAAAAGGTTCAGATTCGCTTAGATTGAATTTCTCATTGTGATTCTGCTTTCCTGAGGATATAGATAGAAATGAACAGGAATTAATCTTTGATCTTCTTGGATACAAGTGAACCTCTGTTTCCTGCAAGGTGAGTTACCTGTTAGGTCACGTGTTGTCTGAGGCAGGTTGAACCACTCTAAAACCATAAATTACATTCAAAGCATCAGCCATCAGTGTGTGGCTTCCTCTTGGAGAACACAATGGGAACTCCATCGAGGGAGGAAGCGCAATGTAAGAAATTGGGCCTTGTGGAAAGACAGGACAGGGCTGGGGAGATATGTTGAACATGGTGAGGAGGAGAAAGACGAGTAGATTGGCATTTTGGTTTAACCTCTGCAGAGAGGGTTGACAGTGGGTAAGGAGGTTGGCAGTGACCTAATGCAAAGTTGTTTTGCATTAGCTGGGATTCTGTTTCTACAGGGCTTCCTGAGGACCGTATCAGAGTCTACGGGTTGCTAGTCTGTAGAGTGCACTCGTTTCTTCTCTGACACGTTTTCTTGGAGTTGGAGGAAGCCTCTGCTTCAGACTTTCTTCCTTCCTGTGCAAACATTTTTTTTCTAAATGAGTAAACTCGAATAAACTCACAGCCGACCTGTGAGGCTCTTCCCTTTCTGTTTTGAACTTTGTATTCTTTGTCTTGCTCTCCTTGCCACTGAAGCATGACCTTTGTCCTTGCTACATGTGGACTCACATGGATGTCATGCTGGTCTCTAGGAACCTGTGTCGGGCACTGAGTTAGTAGGTCAGTTTCAGGGCAGTGTGCTTCCCCTGAGAATTGGGCAAGATGGAACACCAGTATCACCAAAGACTAGAAAACTCACAGTGACTAAAATAGTTCTGAGGAAAGCTTCCTGATAACTTCTAGAAGATTTTTGGTTGTTGTTGTTTTGTTTTTTGTTTTCCTGAAAGAAAGAGAAAAAACAGGTCTCTGAATTAGAAAGTCTTAAAATGAGTAGATTGCTAGGTTGGGTCTAGAGTTTTGTTTGCTCAAAAAAGTAAATTAAAATTCAAGTGGCTGTGGCAACCTGACTTATTCAAGGTCTTTAAACCAGCCAGGGCTGGGTCAGGGTGAGAGTCTGGTTCTCAAATCTGTGTGCTGGGCATTCCTCCCCAAGCCCTCCTATACCTATGCAGGAAACAGGCTGGAGTCCATCACCTTTCACATGGAGCCAATCTGGTTGGCAACTGGAAGAAAAGCCACTTCAGCAACTGCTGAACAAATCTACTCATATCCAGGAAAAAGGCAATGGTGTTATTTAAGAGTGTTCATCAGGGTGAAAGATTCAATCTGCAACCCTTGAGGGGGAATCAAGTGTAGGTGGTAGGAGGTGCTCCCTAGAGCTGAAGACTAACCATTCCTCAATCCTTTGGGAAAATTAATCCTCATGGGATCTATCCTCCCATGCTCCAGCATGGACACCCTTGGGAAGCCAACAAATTAACAAATGATTAAAAGGATGAAAATCAGCTGGACCCATTCATAGTCAACTTTCAGGAAAGTACCTGGAAAACCACCCTTGAGGAGTCTTCGCGTGGTGTATCTGTCTCTTAGTAAGGCAATATGTTCAGGCAAGGGACAGAAGTGTCCACGTGTTCCCCCTCAGTGTGTATGTGTGTGTGTGTGTGTGTGAGAGAGAGAGAGAGAGAGAGAGAGAGAGAGAGAGAGAGAGAGAGAG